ACGACGTCTGACAAATTGTGAATAGATAACTATTCTAATGCATTTTATGCTTCGACAGATTATAACTAACCGATTACTTCTATTGGCGGTAAACGATCAATCTCTTGGGAAGGGATCTCTGTTGTCCTTGCGTTTGGCATGTCGGTGACCTTTTGTCCATTCTCTTGCTGTTCATTTTCTGCCTCATTTGTTTTCATCTCACCCTAAGAGAAAATGTAAGGATAAGGGCAAACAGTAAGTCCGCAAGCATCATCTATAAAATTCATGTAATTTCAATGTGCATGCAACAGCTAAAAGCCTGTTTTATCTACGTAGAATATGCAAATTCATAATAGATTTAACATTGAAACATGGTGTTCATGCTACAAGAAACTAGTAGTTTCTAGCAGCAGAACAACCTTATAACTAGACCAAACAACAAAAACCATTGCAAAATAAGAACAAAAATTACAATGGCTTGAATATTGAATTCAAATGTAGAATGCACCACAAAAATTCAGGAAGTCAAATTAACCCATGATGAAAATGCATGACTAACTAGTAATTAATTACTAATGTACTAGATAAATGACATGCAAAAAATTCATATTCAAGAATCAGAGCTTTAGATATAAAATCCTGCTGTTGAACAATCATTCAGAAATGATTACTTCGCAAGAATCAGAAACGATAGTTTAGGTACTAAATACGTTAACTTTTTAGGTGGAGTACTAAAATGAAATGAAAACTATACGTTAGGTATGACTTTAAAATAATTGAAAGTATATATACTAAAATGGACTAAAACTGATAGTTTAGGTATTAAATACATAATTTATTCCATAATTTATACGGATGACTCGGGAGGGTAATATTGTTCTTTGGTTTAAATTTACAGACTAAAAATAATTTAATGATAGCCTTAGCTACTTTATTCGTTTATGTAATGAGCGGCAACAAGTTTTGTGTATTATGGTCTTTGACTTCATTTGGTTAATGAGGCAATAATTACGATTAGTGGATTCAGTGGCATGTATATTAAACTATCTGTAAATTAGACTATCCTAACCAATATCATTATGCGATGATTTCCTGTAAATGACTAAATTGATACATTTCAAGATCGTGAACAAAGCATGGACGATAACGGAAGGGCACAAGCCCAAGATTGTGTAAAACCTCGTACAATGGTCTGTTTAAAGGATTAATAATAACATGGACAGAAGTTGATGAAGTTCAAAGGAATAAATCGGTGTTGAAGGCAAAATCGGAAAGCAAATTGCACAAAAGGGCGTCAGGGGAATTGAACCCGAATTCCCATTCCGAAAGATCCCCGGACAATATTATTCATAAACATTATTGAATTATGACAGTATAGATTTCCAATCTTTGAATGCCATAGATTTGTTAAGCTAACAAAAAATATTTTCGACTTAACCAACATCGGGGTTGTTCGCCTCACAATGATGTACAGCCTGCAATTTCAGCCTCAAAACTGGGTTTCAGAGACTAGATAAACATGTCACATGAACTCGCATCTGGGGACCAGGATTCGCATGAACACATTCCCATTCGAGGCATTGCTACATAACCCTTTCCTCGCATGTATGCTTCGATTCGGTTAACCTACTCTATCAAATGTGACAAAGCCACATATTGCATGAATCATATGATGCATTCCAATCAGATATGGCGGAGACCTTTGAGCTTCTGCTAACCTGTGTTTGTATGATGCATATAATATTAAGCATGTTTTGATTCACTTAACCTACCAGAATCAGTTCAACAAAGCCTTGTATTGCATGAAGCAGCCCTACATCTGAAAGTATCACACAAGTTCAAGTAGTAATCTAGCACTCTACTTAATCACTATATACACGTTAATAAATCCTTCATAACAATATATATATATACAATGGTGTGTACGCACCATACCTGAACTCATATGCAGGAACACGAGCTCATCCATCATCCCACCATAACACTGCATAAATTCAATTCCTATATCTCCAGAAACTGGCAATCTCCAGTTGTGGAAGATACACTTCAAGTTTTTCATAGCTATGGAGAGATGACAAACAAGTTTTTTGTGCTCATACTGAAATAATAGGATCAAGACCCCCGACAAGTTCAATGCAGGGATGCCATATTCTTCAACACACAAATAAGTTATATGATCATTCAAGCACATTCCAACCGGCAATGGAAATAATTAGACCGAAACCGAAAACAATTAAAGGGCCAAATACTGTTATGAGAACTTCTAGTGTTACAATGATCTAAACAAAATAACCACATGATCAACTGCAAGAATATTAGGAATGGGAAGAAATAAACACAAACAAATTGTAATACTGATAATTGCCATTCCAGGTATACAAAATAGACAAGTCAATTAGATTAAAAAGATTATAATTATTATTGAAAAGATAGAAACACTAACTTCATAATTTACACTGGACTTCAACTGGAAAACCAGTTAAGGTATCAGTTACAATGCAAGCAAAGGAGAAAAGTCACAGCTAAATCAACAATCCCTTTTTCCCAATGTATACAAAGAAATTCGGAACTCTCAAACTCAAGTAGTCTACATCCATCAACATTTTTTATTCTAATTAGTCTGTCCATTCTGGACACCTAGGCCATACAACACACCTGCATATTTCTCTGTGGAGCCGTTGAAAAAGTTCTCTCTCAGCTTCCTAAACGTACACGATGTGAGCAAGCTATCCGAGCCGGCTTGATGGCACACACCAACTCTTTCCACTTCCAACAACTCGGCAAGCTTGTTCAATCCACCGTGAAGGCTGTTGCAAAACTTCATCATATGCTTTATATCATATACCACAGGAAAATATATATTAATCAGATCAAAGAACCCGGCTTGACTATCAGGCAAACTCTTGCAGGTCAAAAGCTTAAGCAAATACCCGAAGTCATATCCACTATGAAAGGTGACCCAACTCACACTATCATTCAACACGACCCCAGACGACATCAAAAGCTCACCAAACCGCTTCACATCAATGCCCCTCTCGTTATTCTTCTTGAAATCAATCCCACACTGACGCAACAACTCAATGGAATCGCTGGCGAAGATATCTTTGCTCAAATTAAACTCACGGAAATTGAATTGCCAAATGCAAGGGTTTTCAGTTCCACAAGTGGGAAGATTCCCGTGCTCATCAGAAAAGGTGAGACCCAGCTGGATCAATTTCAGCATATCCACGTTATCTTTCAAAGTTTGGTAGTTAAAATCATTTATATTCTTGAAAGTTCCCACGGGGCGTAGAACCACACCCGGGAACTCGGTATCCATAGCCACATAATTGTATTTATCAACGATTTCACGGATTAAAGCAAACTCTTCTTCTAGATTATCGTTCCAAACTTCCCGAATATGAACCGAATCAACTTTGGGCAAATCCGACATTTCCAGAAGAACAAATAAAAGCGATAAACAATACCAAACCCTGATCTCTGAACAAAACATAAAGCAACATCCAAAATCCCAAACCTCAAAAAAGCTGAAGGCTTTAAAGCTGAGGTCCACAAAACGGTACCGTTTTAGATGTCGAAGTAGATCTGAAAAACAAAGACAAAGAAAAAGTACAGCAAAAAAGACAGTCAGGTGATTTAAACTCGGGTGTCCAAGATGAAACCCTAGAAACAAGGAACGAGAGAAATAGAAGGAGAAGAGATCTGACCTTTGATCTGTGAAACCGGGCCTTGTAAATAACAGATCTCGGAGGTTTGTGAATGATGATTGATGAATAAATCTGATTTTTTTTTTCGGTCAAAGAATTAGAGTGGGATAATGAGCGGAAACGCGGACAAGATCCGATTCATTGCGATGTGCGTTCTTAAAGCCTTGAAAGGGCAGCGGTTAAAAGGGCCACGAAAACGTGTCACCGCCTCTGTGGCCCAAAACTCCACCGGAGTCTGTACAATATTCGTTCTCGGCCCACTAAAATTCTATTATTCTATTTTGGATTTTAAACAAAAAAATAAATGGTATAATTATAGTTTTAGTCCCTCTATCATTATGAAAATTTCAGGATTTAATTAAACTAACTTTTTTTTTTATGTTTTTAGGTAATTCATACTGATAACACAATTATTTGTTACTGTTAATAAATAGGACCTTTGAGCACTCAGTTGAAATGAAATTTTATAATTATTTGAACATGTATGACTAAATTTTCTGTGATTTTAACTGTGACCGAATGATAATAAAAATATGTATATGATATTAGTTCAATGATGGTAACTAGCAATGTTACTAATTTGGACCTATTAATAACATTATAAAAATAAAGGGATTGAAGTATGTCAAGTTAATGTAAAAGGATTAAAGCATAGTAAAGTGATTAAATTCATATTAGACCAAGACAAACTGATAACATTCGAACACTGATACCGACGAAATATCGTCTTTAAAATTTTAATTTCATTAACGTTAAAGCATACACGAGGATAAAGAACAAGAATAGAAAAAGAGGTGTATACTTAATCAATCAAATCATTTTTCATAGATCGTGCTTCCCACTTCTTAATACACAATTACTACACACTTTATCAATCATTACTATGCTCCCTATTCATAGATCGTGCTGCCAACTTATACAAAAATATATGTATATTTATCTGATTTATCCTAAAATTAATAATTACCATAATTGTACTATTTTCTCTCAAAATATTTGTAATTTGAGTCAATGGCGAAACAATGCCAACGGTATTTGTTTTAATCCCATTAGTAGATTATTAGCTATCATTGTCCTTTGGGTTGTTGCACATGAAACATTGGTATGTATTAAGCTAGATGGACTTCGAACAAGGATTCATCATTGTTGGGCCGGGAACGGTTAAGGTAAAGCCCTGTCGACAAGTTCGCTTTCGATTTCAAACAGCTAAGAAGCCAAGATCCGTATCACCTCAACCAACAGCTTACTGGTGTTGACAATGTCAATTTCAATATGAGAAAATAAAATCTTTTAAACCTCCGATAATAGTGCATTCGACTCGTCAATCTTTTTTCTATTAGTCTCGTTTGACTCGACAATCAAATGTGCTAAAACAAGACTAAATGAGCTAAAAAGCACATACCTAGGTTAAACCAGTGGGCTAACACAGGCCTAAGAAGTGTTTTTCTCCCTAATCTTGTAACCCAGCAGGGGACAGTTGCTTGCAAATTACTTCTGAAGATCTCCAATGTAGAAGTCGTCTATCATGTCAAAAACCCGAGTTGCATGTTGAGGCCTATTGAATTCCACAGAAAAGAAGAAAAATACCAAGTAAGCTTTGGATGTAAACGGAAAACCTTCATTATTTGCAAGTATGAAAAACTTTCGATGGATGTTTCGGATGTTGAATTTGACAATTTATGCATTAACTATCTAGTCTTACATAAGATCCAAGCCTACGTAAAGCAAGACAGCAGCCAATCAATTCTAGAGAAGACAAACCAAAAGAGGCAGCATGAAGTTTTCAAAATTTTCCATGCAATTCCAAACAAGGAACAAATGCATACCCGAAAAACCCTTCGGTTGAATCATCTCCAGCATGTGCCAAGATTGCATCACCACCTGGGTGCTCCTCTACATATGAGGTAACATCATAAACCTGCAATAGTTAGATATAATCATAATCAAGATATGTTAGAATGGCAATGAGTTCTGAGTTCCAAATCCGGCAACATGATAAATTCACCAATTACCTTGTCCTTAATGATGATCCAACAATCAGTCCTCTTATTATGTAGCATAACTTCCGACTTACTATAGGATTTGGATGCCTAAGAGGGGGAAAATTGTATTTCAAAAAATACATGACATACTATCGAATGTATTACTTATAACTTGGAATTCATATTCTTCTGGCTATAAAAACACAACATACGAAAATTGAACTCAGAAAAACTGCAAAAAAGGAAATTGATTGGTTTCAAAGTTCCCCAATATCCATACATGTACCTTAGAATCGTCTACACTTGATTTAACCTTGTTCTTATGAGCTGCAGTGAAACAAATTTGCACCAACAGGAAACAACATACATGATTAATTTTAGTTAGTACTTTACTTGCTATGTAAATGCATAGTAAAACGAAGCATATTGAATTTTACCTGATTTACCGTGTGGAGGTATCAAAACAAAAGCTCCAAGTAATACAGCTAGAATCAATGCTATAACAGCTATTTCCATATCTCAGAGTTAAGCTTCTTTTACTGATTAACCTACAAATTTCCAAGTAGGAATTCAGGGGAGAGAATGAGAAAGATAATCTGAGATTGAAACTAACTTCAAAAGTTTTAAGCAAACAATTCGTCACTAATTGGACGATTCAAAGCATGTCCTAAGCATTTCTGTTATACACACACTGCTTAATTGGTATTTCCATCCTTTTATCATCTATGACAAGCCAGCCAAGTATTCGATATGATTGGTGATCTCAACATTAGAGATGTTCAAAAAATACAACCAAACCCAGATCTATGAACAAATCATAAGCGCATTCAAATATCGAACCATGAAAACTGAAGCTTGAAGTCGAATTTGCAGAAAAGGGTTTATTCACGGTGTCGGAAGCAGATCCGAAAATGAAGAGAGAGAAAAAAGGGCAAAATCAGATTATTTTACTTGGAAACGAAAAAAGAAAGGGAAAAAATTCTAACCGTGAAAGCCTTACGAGTGACCGTGAAGGAGTGCACAGTGGCTCAGAGAGGAGTATCATAAGCCAACAAGGTAACATATTTTAGACCGGAAATGGAAATATATTTTAGACTGAAAACTTAAAATTATTTAATTTAATTTTACACTCATAAAAGAAGTATAAGTTCGGTAGATTTTCTATGGACCTGTTAATATGTAGAGCATCCAGTAAAATCAATTATTGTGTATGAAATTAATAACTAATTGATTTAATAGGATGAAAATTAATTTTCAAATAAGATCAAGGTTTAAATTCTAATATTTACCAATGAAATAAATTGAATTGAAAGAGTAATCCTCACTCATATATCCAATTTAAATTAATTTATTAATAAATTAGATATTCATAATTATAAAAAATATCATCGTGTATGTTCGATAAATTTTAAATTTTGATTTATTGATATTTCAATTCCTCAAATGTTGCAATAACTAACTTACCTCAGTTGTTAAATGAATTGTTATTATTCTTAGATGTTACAAATTTGAGCACCAATAATTGTAGCATGTTGATTGAGTGTTCATTATTAAATGATTGAGACTATTAAGTAGAAAAAATACCACTTTTTGGAAAAGTGATTTTAAAAGTATTATACAAAAGTGCAGTTTAAAATTTAACTGTTTTAGATTGTTATTAAAAGTGAGTTTGAATAGATAAAATATTCATTATGGACACACATTAAATTATAATTGAGTGAAGTCCATATATTAGTAAAGGTAAAATTATAATTTACTTCAAAATGTAAATTTAAAACTGAAAAAGCTAAAAATTCTAATTTTTACGATTGATTTAAAATTACTATTTCCATCGTAGTTTATTTTTTTAATTTTTTTAATTTTTTTTATCAATTTAGGATTGATTTTATGATCGGGACGAATATTTTACCTAAAAATATTTTTAGAAAACCACATATAAGGGTGTTTATATTAGTTGTATGGTTATTGAATAGTTAGCCGGAAATTTGAGAATTTTTTTTTCTTTTTTACATTTTTGGTGACGTCTTCGTTGGGATAATAATTTTTTTCTTTATCCGGCCCGCTGAATTGTACTTAGGTCTAATCAGTGTTTGGGCCAAGGAATTTCTTATGAACAACTAGTTAAATACTTATAGAGACATAGTCCCCAGAGCTTGCCTTGCAAGACATCCCATTGTTACTCAATTTGATTTTTAGAACGATTTAATTTATATTAAATTAATATTATTATAAATAAAATTATTATTTTTGAATATTCATTATAATTATAATTTTAAATTTTAATCACTACAATCAAAATTAAAAACTATTCAATAATACTTAGTGTCAGTTTGACATTGCTTTTAAAAGTGTGTTTTTTGAATTAATCATTAATATATGATCTATTAATCGATTAATCCAGATCGAGTACTGTAAAGGCGAGAGCAACCCTCCCAACCCAATTTATTCCATTCGCAAATATTAGGGTTTGAAACTCTGACATTGCTTAAGGGATCTAATATCTCATTTCACTATACTAATTGGTTGTTGGTTTTTGAAAAGTGATTTTAAAAGTGTTGTAGAAACGAACTTTTATAAGTGTTTTTTTGAAGGTGTAGTTTAAAATTTACATGTTTAAGATTATTGTAAAAAAGTGAGTTTGAACAAATAAAATGTTTAGTATAAACATGATGTTGTAAAATAATAATATAGCATTTGAATTATATTTACACTCATATATGAATTATATCAATTTAAAATATAATAAATTCAAACACACACACACATATATATATATATCAATTTAAACTAAATTATTTTAATATATTTTATAATAACTCACTATTAAAATTTTAATATATAACCATGGATTTTATTTTCTTTTAAGTAATTAACAAAATTATTTTTTAAGGATGTCAGTATTAAATTATTAAAATAAAATATAAATATATAATTGAGTGGAGCTCATGCTTAAGTAAGGGTAAAAATATAAATTTGCTTCTAAATGTAAAGTTGGAATGAAAAAGCTAGAAATTATAACTTTTGCAGTTGGTTTGAAACAATCGTTTCCACTGCGTTTATTATTTTCAACTTTTACCCATTTGGCATTAATTTTGCGATCAAAATGAGCTTTTTAGTTAAAAGTGTTTTAGACAGCATTACCAAACATGCCTTAATAAAGATGGAAGAATGGATCATTTTTTCTTCAACTTAGGATCCATTTGTTTCACAGAAAATAAATCTTGGAAAACTATTTTCATAAAATGAATTATAATTCTTGGAAATCAATTTTTAAAAATCATTTTATGATGTTTGGATGATGTTGTGTAAGGGCCAGTTTGGTAGGGATTTTGAAAAGAGACTTTTAAAAGTACAATAGAAAAGAACTTTTAAACGTGTTGTTTAAAAGAACAGTTTAAAATTTAACTGTTTGGGATTGTTGTTAAAATTTAACTGTTTGATCACTAATTTAAAAATTAAGGGTACTTGGTCCCTAACGATATCGATCCATTCGATTTTAGTCATCAACCATTAACCCTTTAACGGAAGTATGACATGGTAATTAAAAAATTTAGAAAAAATACACATTATTCTTTTTCTTCTTCCTCATCCTTTTCTTTCTCTTCTTCTTTATCTCTCGAACTTCTGGATTTATGTTCTTCAAATAAACAAAAAAAAATTTGAAAAAAATGAATCCTATTAAATATGGTTCTCATTATCATCTTCAACAACAATAATTCATGGCTGATGATAACGGTTCTTTATCTTCTTCAATTTTCTTCATTCTCAATCCCCAGAAGCAACAACAACAAACGTTTTCCCTTATACTTTACATTTGTTGAAACGAACTTTGATTTTGATATAACATGAATTTTTAAATGTTTTAAGTTGTTAACATTTGCATTTTATGATTCTATAAATAATTTGTCAAAAACTACTTTCAAGTATTTTTTAAGTGTGAAAAAATAATAAGAGTTCTTGAGTGATTTCATATTTTACAAATATTGTTTTAAAGCTCAAAACATTTGAATTTAGCCAAAAAACCATGTCAGTCTTGAGACCAACATGTTAGTCTATATATAAATATTCAAGTGGGCTTTTTGGTATCAACATCATGGTGTTGTTATTGATCCTGATAAGTGAGTATCGATACTCACATAAACAATATCAATACCAAAGGTTCAACGACTATATATTTTACTGTTATGATGGTTGGTTTTGAAACCCACTACTTAGTGTCAATACCAAATGTGCAGGTGAGCATTAAATGCTCAAAATTAATAAATCTAATGGCTCTAATCAATCCCCAAACGACTTATATGATGTTAGAAAACATAAAGAAAGACCAAGATTCAAATGGAGAACAACAAGAAAGTCAATTGTAAGATCAAAAGAGTTTTAGAGCTAAAATTGTCATATTTCTTTATAATACACTTGTGAACTTCTTGTTTATTCTTGCTCAAGTGTAATTCGGGTGTGTGCTTAATTGGTTACAAACACATTTTACTTTGTGATGTTTTCTTTTGTTTGCTAAATTTGTAATCCCTTTTGTGGAGAGAGTGTAAGCAAGGTTTTGGGGTATAAACCCTCTATGTTATTGTAAAGTTACACATTATCCTCAAAAGTTACCAAATATAGTGGATTTGAGAAATCTTTAGTGTGGATGCTAAGTTAGTGAATGTAGAATTTTATTTAGAAAGTCGAACCACTCTAAATTCCTTATGAAAAATTCAATTTTTGATTGCTTCCACCACAAAGTTTTTAAAGGCCAATCCACCCCTCTTGACATTATTCAATTGATTGATAAAACTAACAATTGATATCAGAGAGGGTATCTATCGATGATTTAACAACCGTGAAAAGGTCCTAAGAGAGATCTATCGAATTCCACAATGAACAGAGAAAGATGGCTTCAACCTTCGACTCCTACTATTTTGAAAATTCACAACCGGTAAACAAGCCACCTTATTTCAATGGAGCAAATTATGCCTACTGAAAGAAAAAAATTATGTTCTTCATTTAAGTAAATGATCTAGGAGATTGGAACTCCATATTGAAGGGTCACTCTACTTCAACAAATGAGATGAAAGATTGGAGTGAAGAAAAAAAGAAGAAGTTCCAACAAAATGTCAAGGCCATGCATATTCTACTTTGTGCATTAGGCCTAGATGAATATGGAAGAGTTCATTTTGTTTAAATGCCAATGAGATTTGGGAAAAGCTCTAAGTTACTCTAGAAGGAACTAATGAAGTAAGAGAAACAAAAATCGACTTTCTCAATAATAGTTGTGAAAATTTCAAGATGAAACCAAATGAAGACATCAAAGCTATGACAAATAGATTTTTCATAATTGTCAATGGTCTCATGAGATATGGAGAAATCATCCAAAATGAAAAGCTTGTAAGGAATATGATTTTCTCTCTTCCAAAGTCTTGGAAATCAAAGAAGACACCGATAATGGAATCAAATAAAGAAGAAAAGAAAGAAAAGAGAGTTTATGGTAAGCTTATTGGTAAATGATGAGTTGATGGTAATCAAAGAGACTTGGCAATCAAAGTCTTGATAAGCTTATTGGTTCCTTGCTCACTCAAGAGATTTAAACGATTCATGTCATCCAAAGATAGATAGACGAAACATGGATCAAATAAGGAGAAGAATCCCATCATATGCTACAATTAAAAAAAATCAGGACATGTGAAGTATGATTATCCCCAATTGAATAAGAATGGATCAAGTAAGCCAAAGAATAATGTTTTTATGGCTACATGGAGTGATAAATATGTCACCGACATTACGTACGAGGAAGAACCGATAAATATTTTAGCTAGGGATGTGAAAGAATTGAGAACAAGAATATTCCATACTGAAGATTCTATTGAGGAATCATGGCATCGAGGAAACAATATGGGAAACCGAGGAGGATATGCAACTTCAGTATCCCCATCTTTTCTATCTAGGTAAATTTCGAGGATGGAATTTCTTAGTAGGAAAAGAGAGTTGTAACACCTTAAATATCTGGTTAGTAGTTTTCAGCTAACCCGAAAAGAG